CGGAATGGCTTTGCTGAGGAGGGGCACTTCAGTTTAACTCATGTTATTTTCTTTTTAATGCGTTTTTTCCGTAAACTGGGAAGCCTGGAGGAAGTTATAAGAATTATTCTCAAATGATTTCAATTCCAAAGTGGTTAAGGGAAAATGAAGAAATGAATTTTAAACTGAAAATAATTTTATCTATATAAATTTTTTGATAGAGAGAGAGAGGGACTGGGATAATATTTATTCCACTCACTTGGATATGACGAGAGCCTAAAATATTAGTGTCGTATCGGAAAATGTAATCCCATTTCTCAATCTTTTTCTCATAATTATGCATTTGCTTTTTCAATTTTTTGGCTGAATTGCATTTTTTCGAACTTTCTCGTTAATTCTCAACTCGCTAGCAGTAAAACACATCTTTGAGGGTTGAGCCGCGGAGCAGCCAGGGGGCAAACTCACTTCTTTTAGAAACAACGTTTACGTCATTAGTTTCCCTATGCAGATAGGTTCGTTTTAATGAGCGGGCAATAAATATAAGCTTTTAATTGCAAAATGCAGTTTGGCCTTGTTTCGATAGCTTATTTGGAAATTTTTGTCAATTCTTACATATTTTAGACAATTTTTCAAAACTTTCGGAAGTTTTACTTCGTCCGAACAAATGCTTCCTCCTCAAAACAACTTTTCCTCCCCGATCCCCTACGACTCCTCTAAAAATGACGCCCTTGTCATTTACTACGATTTTTCGTTTCTTGTTACTTTAGTATTTCCTGTTATTATATAATATTTTACTGAATATTTGAATCTTTAACCGTAATCGATATGATTTAAGTGATCACGTTCTGGAATTCGCGTTTACACTATTTTACCATTAATTATTCTGGTTTTTTTTACCTTCTCCGTCTAAATCCGTACTTAAATAGCCGAAATAAAAAAATCCTCTTTTAACGTGTGAAGTGCTAGAGCACCACTGATTTTGAAAATGTTGTGTGAAAATGTCTTGTCTTGTCCAGTCTTCTCATCATGGACGGCCTCGTCTATGAATGAAATATCTCCACCTAAAAATTCTCGATAGAATTTCGTTCCATTTCTAATCGGCACCTGGGAGTGGAAAGAATTTTGGAGGCCGCGAGAATCGCGATCGATTTTTCGGTGCTTAATCCTGGTAAGAAAACTGCCCCCGCGAAGAATGACCTTGCAGATCCTCAAGGCCCGGGGTCAACAGGCTATTTTGCCGCTGCCTAATGGGCCGTTAGTAATTGGACAAATCGCCGCATTCTCGTTTCGAGTTTCTGGTCCATTCATCCTCCCCCGAATCCCGAAAATCCGAACGTAAGAGGCCTTTTGAGCACCTCCCGTCCCCGCTAATCGAAAACTAACGATAATTTTCGCCGGGACGCATGCGCGTGTGACTTTGAGAGGTACTTCTCGAGGGCATAATCCATCGAATTGGTTGACAAATGGTCGTTACGCCCCCGTCGATGGGTGGTGCGCCCTGTCCTTAGCGGCCGTTTAAGGAGTTGGGAATCTTGAGGGCCTCAAGGACACGTTTGACCTCTGCACGCTTGGATGGAAATTGATGTGGGCCGTGGCGCACGAGAGGTGGGTACCTATAAATACTACGGTGGCGCGAATGAATCTGACTTAAGTTTTGATCGAATTCATCGTAAATATGAGTAATGTATGATGCCGTGCTAAGGAAAAACGCCGTATGAACATTCGAAAGTTGCCAAATTTCCTTCGATAAAAGGTTTATTTTTTAGGAAAATTATGAATATTTCTCTTTGATATTTTCAGGAACTTCAGATAAAAATACGAAAAAAATTATCTGAAACATTGGAAGGAAAATATTCATAAGTGTGGGCCTGAAGCCTGAAGGCTCATACGGCGCTCCTCCTTAGCACGGAAGCGTTGGTTGCAGTGGCGAGGCGTGAGCGATCGATTATCGATATTTCCCCATTCGAAGCTATAGTAAAAGATCGATTATTAAGGTGTTCGTTGCGAACACCCTATTTATAAAGATTCCTTTGATAAAAAGTTTATTTTTGAGGAAAATTATGAATATTTTTCCTTGAAATTCTCAGGAGCTTTAGGTTAAATTGCGAACAAAATGATTCGAAAAATTGGAAGAAAAATATTCGTAAGTTTACCAGGGAATCCGTGTTTTACCGAAGAAAATTTGGCAATGCCTGAAGGTTCATACGGCGTTTTTCCTTAGCACGGTAGTATGTGCGCAATATTTGTTGATCTTTACCCCGCGCGAAGAGGAAGAATCATCAATTTTATTATTCTGCTACAGCTGATTTTTGCGCCAGTAAAGAAAAGGAAAAGAAATGGTTTGAAATATGGTTAAGATATGATTGATGCTCCGCAGCCCTTGACAAGATATATAATAATGAAACAAATTACACAGCGGGTATCAACGCTAATTTTCACGTAAATATCACCAAACGTTTCAAACGTTCGAATGTTGGATAATAACATTGTTCTCGCTTTGGAAGGTACAGTCAAGTACTACGTTTTTGGATTGTTACAGTTTTTTACTGCATGTTTTATCCAACTGAGGAAGGCTGAGTTTTCAGCCGAAACGTTTTAGTGATATTTACGTAAAAATTAGCCTTGTTACCCGCTGTGTAATTTTTTTTATTATTGGAAATATGATGGTTAATTTTCCGATTCTACACATCCTGTCAGCGATGACTGTCGAGAGAAAAAAAGCGTTAAAAAATCTTTCTATTTCAAAACGTCAACTCTCATATAAATGTTTATAATATATGTTTTAGAGAATCCTTTCCGCTTGGACGATTTTAGCTCGGACTTGCATAGTGCGTAAAGAATAAAGACCGCGGTTATAAGAACTAATGGAGTACAGGAGTAAACTCCGGTTCGGAGGACTCAGCCGTCAGTCCCAATCAAAAATCTTTTTGGCTGACACAACCGAACTGAAAAACTTTAGCATTTGTGGAACATACGAATAAAGTATTGGTTTATTCGATATTTGCTACTTTTACAAAACTTTTTATGAAGTTTTATAGGACAACATTCTCATAAAAGTTTGAATTTTTTGCCGTTGAGACCTTTTTGTTTTGTTGTAAGTATTGTATAAAGAGCAATTTTATTTTAGAATTTATAAAATCTTGCATTGCTGCATGTTCTTAGTTGCATATGTAATCTCGGTACACAGGCTTGGTTATGTTGTACATCGTTCAACCTGAGTCCATCTTATCAATTCGTGGAGTAGCGTATCTTTTTTGGTACGTACTTACTTGGAATCAAAGTTTCAAAAAAAGAAGAATATTCAAAGAAATGCTATTAAATTAACTTACTTTCAAAAAAGAGAGGGAGAGAAGAAAATTGAGATCTAGTTTGAAAATCCTACTGTGAACATCAAAAATTCTGTTCCTCCTTCATGTCTTGAAGGAAACCGACTTTCAAATATTAATTAACGTTTACGCCTTAAGGCAAATCACGGATATTTTTTGATAAATTACATCAGAAAGATTTTTTGAAAAAGGAAAATAAAGGACAAGTTCTATGCAATTGAAAATTGGCACTCCCTTAGTAGTAAAAGAACTCGCACCGTTACATTCTGCGAGCATTTCTATGATGAAAAAATATTGCAAGAAAGAAGGAAGTTTTGACCTTAAATTTTCGTGTCACGCAATGCGCTTTTTCAAATTTCTTCCAAACTTCTCTTGTGCAGTTTTGTTGTTATACAAAATGTTTCTACGGATCCGGGTGTTTCCCTGGAAATTTTAAAACCACCTAGTTCGACGCACAACAAAAAAAAAGAGAAAATAAAAGAAAAAACGAGCTTTATATGAACATTGTGAGTCTCATACTTTACTTGGGCGTATTTTCCGAGTAAAAATATTATTTATGTAAAGACTGCGCTATAATTTGAAGGAAAAACTAATATATGATCAGATAACTTACTGAAAGAGAGGTAAATTGGTTGTGAGAGAGGGAACAAGCAATTAAATCTTTTACAGTATTTTATTTTACGTACCTACAAAATATACATAATTTTTCAATTTTTTTTTTTTTACAAAAAATACAAAATATGTTAATTTGAAAAATTGAGTGCCGCATTCGAAGTAGCAAAGTAATGCCTGTTTAGAGCCGAACTGGAAAAAAGCGGTTAATTTCCAGTTTCTCACTATGTAATAAATTTATCTTCGGCGACGAGTTACTCGACTCGATGAGTTGTATTTGAAAACTTCAATAAAATCTGTCCTAATCATACAATACCGCATTAATAACATTTCATAAAAATAATTTACAGATAACAACTTATTTATATAGGTAATATAATGCAAATGTGTCTGTACATTTCACGGTCATGATAATTTATATCTTTGGTTCTTTTTGTCTTTTTTACTTTACAATTTCTCTCGATTTAGACCCCGTCAAGAGGGTAAGGACGCATACCATGGCATGAACGAGTACCTAAAAATAGGAACTACGCGAAAGAATGAAAATCCATGGTTCTTTCTCAAGGAATGTCATCTAAAGATTCGCTACATTTTTGCAAAAATTGCCATTTTTGCCAATTTTACAAAATTCGTCTTACGAATAAATAGACCGCGTTACGCAGAAATGAACCAAGCCACATCCGCTATCGCAAATCAGCCGAGCAATTAAACTTTTCACAAGAGAACGTTTGTACGGATTTCTTTGAAAACTTCTAATTTGTTTCGTACTATGCAAAACATTCACTCAAAGCACACAAATCCGCACAACCGTTTTCATGTAAAAAATTAAACTGCCCAATTAAATTTGCACTGGAAAAAAACACATTGGATCTAGAGTCCAGATTCTTTAAAACATTGACAAGAAAAAATACTCTTGATTCAATCAGATTTAAGCTTAAATCAAAAGGAAGTCCGCTCAAATTAAGAGGCTGGGTTCTTGATTGAAGCTTAAATCTGATTGAATCAAGAGTATTTTTTCTTGTCGATGTTTTTAAGAGTCTGGACTCTAGATCCAATGTGTTTTTTTTTTTTTTTCCAGTGTGGCAATAGCTGCGATGTGGCTTGGTTCCTTCCTGCCTAACGCGGTCCAAATTTCAAAATAGACAATCCACGCTCCACGTAAAAACACCATTGCATGAGACTATTCAGGAGGATTCATCCCTGCCAACCTGACTCGGACCCGGAAACTCCCTATCAACTAACCGTGGGCGAAGCTTTGAACTGACTATCCGACTGCTCGTTGCACTTGACTTTCGGCTCGACTTTCGCCGCGAGATGAAGCGGCGAGTGAGGATGGGGGTGACTTCCACATCCGCGTAAACAGCAACACTTTTGGGCGGCGGCGCTGGGCGGAGCCGCGGGGTCGTGTCCTGCGACCTCCTCCTTCTTGTACTTGACCCGCCGGTTCTGGAACCAGATCTTGACCTGTTTCTCGGAGAGCTTAAGGTAGGTGGCGATCTCGATGCGTCGGAGCCGGGAGAGGTACATGTTGGCCGCGAACTCCTTCTCAAGTTCCAAAAGCTGCGTGCTCGTGAAAGCTGTCCGGATGCGCTTCGAGCTTGGGAATTCGCCGCTCTGGGGGCTGCCGCATCGGTCGTCGCCGGGGGAGTGCGGTGGGGAGGTTAGCGGGGAGTGGAGGGGTGAGCGGTCGCGGGGGCGGGTCGGAGAGCGACGGATGTCACCTGCAACAAACCAAAATTAAAAGTTAAGTAACATATAACCAAAATACTTGATAATATCCCGAATGATTGAGCCGATCATTGTCGAAATCAAGTGAACGCCAAAATTTTGAATGCGAGAAAAACGAAAACACCCGTTTTATTCGCTTTGTGACAATCTTTGAAATCTAGAAAATGTGTACTCTATTAGAAAGCTATTTTGACTTCAGACATGACTGATTACACCAAAGATGACCAAAGAAAATACAGCCCCTCTGCCACCAAAGTAGAGATTGGCACTTGCGTGATTTAGAAATATGTCGGTTCAATTTAACTAAAAAACACAAGAAAAACGGGTAATCAAGGCAAAACAAAAACTACTGTTCACAAACCTCCAAGGTAAATTTGTTTCCCCCAGAATCTAAGATCCAAAGTCTTTCATGATATGGAGGGTTCAAAACAGTCCTCTACTGAAAGTTTCGGCTTAAGTTCAAAGCTCATTTTGGAAATACAGCATACAAATTTCATATTTTTCACCATTAAAAAATTCTTAAGTATGTTGTAAAGTTGTTGAGTTATAATGTTCTTAAATGTTCTTGAGTAAATGTTCTAAGTGTTCCTAGATAATGTTCTTAAGTTCCTGAATTGAAAAAACAACTTTAGTTGATTCTGTTTCATTTTACAGTATTGTCAGTTGATGTCATTTTGCCTCAGAAAATTAAAAGGGATCGACTTAAATTAATTTTCATGTGAGGAACTTCAAAATATTAGAATTTTTCAATGGACAAAATTCAAAATTTGCAACGTTGTATTGCCAAAACGAGCTGGACCCAAGCAAAGCCTTCCACTGAAAGATTGTCTTGTCATATCACTGAAAAAAAGATTCAGTGAATCTGAACTAGTTAGGAGCATATGGAACCAGGTTTTGTTCGGTACACACAACCGAATTATTCGGTTTGCTCAACCAAACTGTTCCATTTGCCCCTAACTGGTTCGATGCACCTAACTTTTTTTTTCAGTGATAAGATTTCCTTATGGTTCAATCTAAACAAAATCCCTGAGTTTCCCCAAAATGATGCACTTTTTGACAGACTCCTTGCTCTTTGAACGGTGTCAATTCCGTTCTACATTTTTTATTAAAATAAATATATTGAGGTTTTTTCATTTTAACCTTGTCTGAAAACCCGTCAAAAAACATGTTCTTTTTTTAAAAAGAATAATGAAAACCATTCTAAAAATATTTAAATATCAAAGATTAAACGAACATCAGTTAGGCGAGAGACTATAGCGCTATTTTCTACATTAAAATGTTCTTAACGTCCCGTCCTTTAATGGAACACAGCCTGTAAAATCTCGCGGTTGATCTACTAACATACTGTAGTTTAAGATATGATTCCTTCATTTTCTGAATTTTAGGGAATCCAAATGTTTAAACCGTCCAAACTGGATCTGATTCTATAACATACTCAAATATGTCAAAAGTTGTAAAAGTTCCCGTTATCTTGAGTCAGACATAAGATTTTCATTTTTACGAATGGGGAAGGTTGAGAATTCTTTGTAGAAAGCGTAAGGCGAATGCGAGAGGCGATGTAAAATCGCAGTTTTCCTGACAAAAGCACGCAACTATATTGTAATGTTGCCAAATTTCCCCTCAAAAGTTTCTTTTTTACCTGTGAAACAATGGTCATTTCTAACTGAAAATTTCACTGATTTTTTCTCTGATCTCATGCAAAAATCACAAGAATTTTGGACGAAAATTGGACCGGTAGGTTCTTGTAAAAAATCAAATTGTTTGAGACAACTATGCAACCTTGCGTTCTTTCGTCAAGGAAACGACGATATGTTCATCTCAAGTTTTTCTCCCTGATTTTAAAAACTTATGGATCATTTTTACCATGTGTAGCGTGTTCTAATTATTTACACAACGATTCGTTCGGAATTTAAAATTTTAAAATAATTTTGGTTTTTAGAGGGCCCCATATGGTTTACATTACGATTAAGGGGCATTCAAGGAAATCCCTAGCACAGTTTCGTAAAAAGGACAATTTTTACAAACCTGTAGTAAAATTCAGCATTATAACTTTGAAAATGGGTCCTTAATTGAGGGAAATTACAATAATTTATCACTACAAAAAATATTCAAAATACGAAAGAAAATATATCGCAAGCTTTGCAAAATTTATGGTAGGTTCGTATTGACCCCAATGTTTGTCAAAATCAAAGAGCTTTTTCTTCTGTATTTTGTGTTTTCTGTCACGGCAAATCATTTGTAATAGCTTGCAAGGCCAATCATTTATTTCCAAAGTTGCACTGCTGGATTTTACTCGAGGATGGCAAAAATTTGTCGTTCCCCTTACAAAAGCTTTTAACTACATTTAGATGTTGTCGATTTTCCCTCGTATATTGCATTTTCTGAGGAAAATCTTGGGCATTTCTTACTGAAAATTTCACGGACTTTTCATCTGATCTCATGGAAAGATCAGAGAAATTTTGGACAAAAATTACACAGGTAGATTCTGGTAAAAAATTCAAATTATTTACGTCAATTTTGCAACCTTGGAATCGAGTTACCTTCCTTCGTGCAAGAAACGACGAATGGAAATGGACTGTTTAAAGAACGACTATTATTAGGACCTTTACGTAGATTTGCACCTAAAGCATAAGTGGACCACATTTTGCCATAAGGAATCAATATTCCTGGCTCATTGCAAAAACAACACATATGCCAAAGTTTTCCCAGAAAGGTGCTTTTATGGGGGAGCCAGAGGTATTGGTCCCCTATCGCAAAATATAATCCAAATAAAGTTTGTATTTACCTGCGGCTACTTTGCGTGGAGGCTCCTCGAAATCCAGTCGTGTGAAGGAGGGATCATCGAAGCTAGTTCTCCTCGGGATCTCGGTCCTGTGAATTTCGGTCCTGGGGGCCGGAACCTCCGGGGGTAGGAGCCCGAGGGGCGCCGTCTTGTAGGCGGGCGGATAGGCGTGGGGGGCGCCCTGGAAGCGGTAGAGCAGGGGGTCGGTGTCGACCCGGAACTTGCCGTAGAAGGCACCCGGAAAGCCCGGTTGCGGGACCCGGGGCGGCGCCAGGCCCAGCGACAGGAGGTAGGAGTTAAGGGCGGCCGGGTGGTACGGGAGCAGGGGGTGGCAGGCCTCGTGCGGGGGTGGCGCCCGCGGCTCCGTGCTGTTGATGATCGAGTCCATCAGGAAGGACCGTGACATTGCGGGGGTGGGCATCGAGTCGCAACCCTTAATCGGGTCTCCCCGGTGAGCAATCACACTAAAACTCGAGTGGTTCGAAAATGTTCACGGAAGGACGTTCGATTGGCGACACTTCCATAAATTCCAGGTAAAATTTTCTGATTAAATCCAAAGTCTCACTAAGAAAGCGCCTTCGCAAAGCACCTAAAGCAATTTAGGGTTGATTGAGTCGAATAGTTCACAAAATTCAAGATTGAGTTCTGTTCACCGGTTAGCACTTTGAAATAAATCCAAAAAGTTCTGAAATCAACAGCTTGAGTGTAACTAAATCGCAAAATGCGTTTGCAGTGCCGCTAAAACACTACATTGGGTCCGTTTTAGTCCAATAGGAACACTTTCATCAATTCTCGATCCAAAATCATTGATAAGGAGATTACACCATGTACAAAACTGAAACGAATCGGTGAATTTGATTTCGCGACACTCTCGTTAATCGCACAACGATTATGGGCTACACAATTTTGAAACTTTGCATTGCTGGTGGTATCTTTACGATCATGCCAAAATGTGGAGCACATAAATTAGAGACATGGAAAACCATGAAAATCTTGAGGAAGATTCGAAAAAATAAGGACAACTCCTTTGCACAGCGATGAAATTGAAACTTTAGGTATATCAACAACCGAGTAAGATCTTGGATCGAATGTCGTTATCCATTATTTTATGTACTTTTTATTACAGTCACAAATTTCATTTTCAGACAACACGGCGTCGGCATGAAATTACATAAAATTAACCGTGACGTCACAAAAATCACGTGGAGGTCTAAACGACGACAAAAGCTGTTAAACTCAACTTAAAACCACTGTAAGATAAAAGTAGTGAAAGGCAGGTAAAAGTTACGGGTTGACACAAGGAAAATGTGAGCTTTTTGCTGGACGCGAGTTTATTAAAAAAGTCAAAAGACGAAGACGAGACTGGGCACGTAGGGGTGCGGAACCTTCGGGGGTGAGTTTGAAGACTGATCGGGGCCCGTGTCGCCGGCAGCTCCGGAGCTACCCACCAGAAAAACTACCCCCTCCCGGTGTTGCGGGCTTTGTTGCCACTAACGAATCCACCCCTTTGCCGCACCGCTCCTCCGCAGTCGCACACTACCCCGCGAACCCATTCACAAACGCTCGCACACACGCACACACGGACGCTCGCACACACCGACGCGTAAACAAATTCTCGTGCGGACCACTCCACCAGCTCGGGGGTGGGGGGTATTAAATAAAGAAACAGGGTAATTGGTAGCTTTTACTCTATTAGCGCTCTCCCCCTCTGAGAATCCTCGATTAGCCTTTGTTGACGCAATGATTCGATTGTTGGTTTCCGATTGTGTTAATCGTTCGCGCATGGAGCCATAAATATACATTTTATACATATTTTTTGTGACTGCCTCTGACAGCCAGGGCTGCTCACTTTTCGCCGTTTCGCTATAAATTTCGCGACCGCTTTCCCACACAATGCGCGCGGCATGGGATGACGTCATTATATTCTACTCGCGTCCACATAATTGCGCTGATAAATAGGGCACTTTTTATTCTGCTGTGGCCTAAAAGTCTCAGTACGGTGCGATTATTATTTACCGGAGGACTGGAGGTCCTAACTTAACTGGTGCTACACAGACCGAGAACCAGCCGGGTGCTGCACGCCTTCAGAAAATCGCTTCATCACAATAACAAATCTAGAGCCCAATCTATTTAAAGATCGCGGGATAAGAGGAAGACCTCCCCTACAGCGAAAAGTGTCCCGGTGCGTCTAAACTATCAAAAAATTTAAGGAGTCACAAAAATACAGCGATGATACTAATGACGAGGTATCGATAATATCCTGAAAAAAACTGTCCAGCATTCTTTTTCCTTTTCTTTTTTTTTTCAATTGGTCAAATGATGCATATCCTTGAATCGTTTGGCGATTGAAGCTTGAAGCTGAGTCAAAACAAGGAAGCCATGCTCCCTTGTCGATACGCGGCCCAACCCATAGGGGCTGGCGGACCCCCATGAATTGGATTACATTTAGCACTAAGGAACCACTATCTCTGGCTCTCCATAAAAGCACTTACCTGCAAAAGGAAACCAATGTCATGAATGATGTTTCGAAAATGGGCCAAAAATAGTGGTTCCTTATTGCAAAATGTAATCCAATTGATCTAAACAGAGCGGGCAGGAACTCTTTCCTATCGATAGCGGCAAAAATCATGAAAATCGGCCTGGTAGATTTCTAGAACAAATTAACGTCCATCTCAATATGAACTACTTAAAACCCGCGACTATTAACTTGAAAAAAAAGGGGGGGGAGCAAAGCGATTAGAAAATCAGGAGGTTGACAGATCTGATAAACCCAAATAAGCACCTAGTCTACCGTGCTCAGGGAAAACGCCATACGAGCCTTCAGACGTTGCCAAGTTTCCTCCGATAAAAACCGAATTTAATGGGAAAATTATTCTCCAAAATTTTCAGACAATTTTTTACACAATTCAATCTAAAATATCTGAAAATTTCAAGGAAAAACATGCATGAATGTTGTCAATGATACATGTTTTATGAAGGAAAATTTTGAAACACTCAAATGTTCATACGGCGTTCTTCCTTAGCACGGCAGTAGTGGTCGCAGAGTCATAGCCTTTTATTTGAAACGTGAGCAAAATTCACTTCACGGAGCATTCGAGCGAAAAGACAAAGCCTCTTGTAATGGTATCGAAACAATAGGTTGCAGATGTACTTTGCGGAGTCAATTAGCGGAGGCAAAAAATCCCTCGACCTGCGCGACAGGGTGCCCCTGCCCGGCGTTCCGCGTTTATTAGGCCGCAATCGTGAAGAAACAGTTGCGGTCGGATTGATTTGGTAAAAATGTAAATTTCGTCAAGCAGAAATCAAAACGGCAAGCCCTGCCAGTGTGGAGTGCATTGTTGCCGCTTTAATGAGTCTGTTACGCATAAGAGACTGCAGAGACTGCGCAGCCTTTTAATTGAAGCATTTTGCCATTGAAGAGTCTTTGAGGCAATAGAGATGTTGCATGTGTGAGGAATTTGTGATTTGACTATTGATTCTTACGTAAAAGTTCGCGAGAAACATGATGGTGCCACTGGTTTTCTCTAAAATCAACTCGCAAGCTCAAAAAAAGCTCTCAAGCTGAGGCCAAAATGGAGGGGATATCACACGCTATCCTGAGAGTCCACCTCTACATCAAGACAAACTCTCCATGCGAAGATAAGGAGCAATTACATTGACAGGGCTCCCACATTATTTGGGGACTCTAAAACTGAAATCACGGCAACCCTGTCAATGTATTTGCTCCCTATCTTTGCATGGAGAGTTTGTCTTGATGTAGAGGTGGACTCTCAGGATAGCGTGGGATATCCCCTCCATTTGGGCCTCAACTTGAGAGTTTTTTTGAGCTTGGGAATTGATTTCAGAGAAAACCAGTGGCACCATCGTGTTTCTCGCGAACTTTTACGTAAGAATCAACAGTCAAATCGCAAATTCCTCACACATGCAACATCTCCACTTTTGCTTTTGAGAAAAACGTGTGTTTGAAAGTTTGGAATGATGCACCTTAAAGCTGCCGTGCTACGGAAGAATGCCGTATGAGCCTTGAGACGTTGCCGAATTTCCTCCGATTAAAACCAAAGAGCGACGCCAAAAACGACCGTTTTTTGGCACAATTTGGGCCAGAAGGGATTTTTCTGAAACCGGGCCCAAACGATACCTTACGATACCCTAAAACTCTGGTTAAAATTTTAGCTTGAGTATACGCACGGTTTTTGAGAAATGAGGGGGCAATGTTGCCAAATCGCCATCATTCTGGACAGCATTTCTACAGCAAAAAGACGAGAAAAATGGACGAAAAAGTTACACCTTTGATGGGTTTCGGCTGTAAATGTTCTCATTGGGCCCCCAAGCATTAAACCGTGTTCAGTTTCAAAAATTTTGGTCGCACAGTGGTCCATAATGGGGAGAAATCATCGACAAATCAGGATTCTTGGTCAAATTTTTAGAAATGGAGGTAAAATTGTCGGTCTGCTGCAATTTTCATGGCTAACAATGTTCTTATCGGTCATCAATGCATGAAATTGTGTTCAGCTTCACAAATTCACATCGCACAGTGGTCAAAAATGGGGGATTTAGTGGACAAATTAAGATCCTCTGTCAAACTTTTTAAAAATGAAGTGAAACTGTTGGTCCCCAGTAGACTTTAGATCCCGGGAAAATTCTTTAAATTCTTTTTTAGACTATTTAAATATTTTTTTAATGTTTTCTCTCCATTTTTCCTTCTTTTTTTTAAATTTCTGAAAGTTTGCATATTTTATTGAGATAATGCTACAAAGTCTATTCTATAACAATGTTCTATAAACAATACGGTCTGAAATGTAGTAATAATTTAAAAAATTAAAAACATGATTTTTCCGGGATCTAAAGTCTACCGGGGACCAACAGTTTCACTTCATTTTTAAAAAGTTTGACAGAGGATCTTAATTTGTCCACTAAATCCCCCATTTTTGACCACTGTGCGATGTGAATTTGTGAAGCTGAACACAATTTCATGCATTGATGACCGATAAGAACATTGTTAGCCATGAAAATTGCAGCAGACCGACAATTTTACCTCCATTTCTAAAAATTTGACCAAGAATCCTGATTTGTCGACGATTTCTCCCCATTATGGACCACTGTGCGACCAAAATTTTTGAAACTGAACACGGTTTAATGCTTGGGGGCCCAATGAGAACATTTACAGCCGAAACCCATCAAAGGTGTAACTTTTTCGTCCATTTTTCTCGTCTTTTTGCTGTAGAAATGCTGTCCAGAATGATGGCGATTTGGCAACATTGCCCCCTCATTTCTCAAAAACCGTGCGTATACTCAAGCTAAAATTTTAACCAGAGTTTTAGGGTATCGTAAGGTATCGTTTGGGCCCGGTTTCAGAAAAATCCCTTCTGGCCCAAATTGTGCCATTCTTGGCGTCGCTCTTTACCGGGAAAATTTGTATTTTCTTCCAAGTTTTTAGATAATTTTGTTCGCAATTCAGTTTAAAATATATGAAAACTGCAAGCAAAAATATGCATGAATGTTGTCAATAATACATGTTTTATCAAGGGATATTTGGCAACTCTCGAATGTTCATAAAACGTTTTTCCATTGTACGGCAGACAGAGTCATCGTCCTTTTTTCAAAACCTGAAAAAGGAGCTTACAGATTATAGAAATTGTCAGAATGTGTAAGCCATATTAGTTTCATTTCTTTCTTTTTCACAAGGTTAATGAGTTTTAAAAAAGTTTCAGTCAAAGACCCTTTTAACGAAGATCGACTTTGTGCCTTTTTTTCTCAGTAATTTAATTAGTTGTTTTGTTCTCTCAGGCCCTCAGCAAGATGAGAATCAACTGCAATACTTTTCTAACGCTGTATATGTACCGCAAAATAAAACAAATCATAGGCGCGAAAGTCAAGTTCCGTAAACCTATCTCTGTATATGAACGAGGCCCCCCATTTATAAGAAATGAACCAAAACATTATGAGAGAACAAACATAAATGTGGTTTAATAATTTTAACTTCCGCCTCCGCGCCGCGCTGACCGCACTGTGTTTGGCTCAATGCGTGCACACATGCACGCGTATTACATGCACTATGAGTTTCACGCCAACCGCTGCTAACCGGACTACGTTTGACGCAATGCGTGAAGTATTCATGGAGTCTTGTAGGCGCTAATATGTGTTTCATGCTGACCGACCGCGCCGATGGCCTCTTCTTTTTCATCTCAAGTCCTCGTCATCATTGCTCTCTGCGCCGTGCCGCTTAAGGCCAAATTGCGTGTTTGGTTTATCTCTCAACTAGACTAATGAAAGGCGCTGTCTCTTGTATCACCGAAAGACCCGAGTGGCCCGATCATATCTTTTTATGTAAATTCTTAACGTATTTACAGAATGGCTTGATTGTTGAAAGTTTTTCAAAAGAATATCTAGGACTTCTAAAATTTTCAAGTGGTTAATGGCTATCGTATCATACCGAAAAAAATTAAGATCTGAAATCACCAACCTGATTATAAAATATCGAGGAGGCTATGCCACCTGCTCGCACATTGCTCATACATTGTTGTGAATGTCAGTGCGGGAATTCTAAAATATTTTTTAGTCCGCAACATATCACACATC